TAAGGTCATGGATTTTTAGACTTTAGACCATAAATGGTCTAAGCGCACTTTTTATGTCATGTTTTATAAGCGCATTTTTGTGCAATCAACACAAATCCTTGTTCGGTTTACCGAAAATTTTATGATTTTTTAAATATGTATAGGAATATTGGAAAGACCTCCTATCCGTTTCGCTCTGTGCTAATAGTGTTTGTTGTTTTCGTGGCTCGTACATATGTATCTACAAATGTCTGGCATAGGAACAAGAGCTGACGCAGTGAAAGGCATTTTTCACTTCATTTTGTCGGCACACTCAATTACCACTTAATGTCCTTACTTGAGCACAATTTACGCAAACATAAGGATGCGGATTGGGAGGGACCCCCGAATTTCTACTGCACTCCGTGGCTGACTGCTTCCGGCAGCGCGCTTCCAACTGAATGCAACATGAATTCACATGCTGCATTTGGGGCTACTGCTGCTCGCCCTACAAAAACCGAAAAATAATTTGTTTGTTTTGCAATTTGTTCGCTGTATGAGCACGTTGTAGTGGTTTTCTTCTGATTCGTTTTCTGGCTGCAAATTAAACAATTTTTCATACCCTTGCAGAGGGCATACTAATTTTAGTTAGTTTGCAACGCAGTGAAGTAGATTCTCCGACCCTATAAGGTATATATATATTCATGATCAGAATCACCAGGAGAGCTTATCTTAACATGTCCGTCTAAAACTTCATAGGGTCGGAGATGTCTCCTTCACTGCGTTGCAAACTTCTGACTGATATTATATTACTCTCTGCAAGGGTATTAGAACACTAATTTATTAACTTTTAATTTTTTCGCCGTGGTAAACCGTTTTCTGGAAATGCCCATATACTTTATAGGATCGCGTTTCCCTTTTACCTGATACATATTTTTTTAACGATTACATTGTACTCTATTGCTCTCGGACAACCGGTTATAAAAATGTTGGTATACAAAATGTTAAGTTTTATTTTCTAAATCAGTGATCAACCATCTCAAACCACACTTTTCTGCCTATAAGTTAACTTATATGGTGTTTTAATATAATAGATAAATCCGGTGTTTCTCCTTTTCCTTCCGATAATTATTTCTGATTATACCCGTTACTCGCAGAAAAGAGTGTCCATCTCCACAAAAGTCTGTCATGTCACTCGGTAAAATGTTAGAAGTTAGTTATAGGTCTGGGTATGTGTATTTCAGTCGCATCTATCGGTAGACTTTTTTCAAATCGAGTTATTATTAGCAAAATGTCACAGTTCGACAAATGGCGCAACCTAAAATACAATTGTTTCGTTGGGGCATATCTGTTTTGAAATTAATTATGGTAGCATGTATCTTGTAGTCGGGACTCTCGATTTTGGGGTTCGTTCTTGTTTTCTATTTCATTTTTAGCATACATCACCTTTAGTAATATTTAAATTAAATTAATAAAATATCCTAACAAAATGTAGTGTTAATATGATTACCCTTTTCGTAATAATGGCTTGGTTTAAAGTATTGCGAAGCCATTGTTAGCTGTTATTTGCTAAGGTCTTTGGCTTATACAACCCTTCATGCGATAGAACTAAGTCGAAAGGAAGCCTTCATTGCACTTGCTGCTGGTTTTTAATTAAATCACTATCAGGATAATCAAATGCCAGCTTACATTTGTCTCAGGCTTAGAGCTCGTAGCGGCTGCAAGCACCAAGTCCAACTCAAAGCTACTTGGCTCATTAAAGCGCCAAACAATTTCCGTATTTCCGTTTCGGAAGCACTCTTCGGTGCGACAAAGTATTCTAACTTTCACATTTCCCCTGTTTTTCTGCTATTATTTTCTAGAAAAACGTTTAAAATGAAGCACTGGTGAATATAGGATTTGGTAGTGTGGGCTCGCCCACTTTTATCAGCCTTGCAGAGGGTATTATAGTTTTAGTGAGAAGATTGCATCGCATCGAAGGAGATATTTCCGATCCTCTTAAGTATTTGAATCACTTATATATATATATATATATATATATATATATATATATATATATATAATGGATGTATATGTATTATTATCAACTTTGGGTAATGAAAATTTAAGATAATAAACAAGATATATATTTATACCCTTGCAGATGGTATAATAATTTCAGTAGGAAGTTTGCAACGCAGTGAAGGAGACATCTCCGACCCTATAAAGTACATATATTCTTGATCAGCATCACTAGGAGAGTCGAACTAGCCATGTCCGTCTGTCCGTCCGTCTGTCCGTTTCTACGCAAATTCTCAGTTTTTAAACTATCTGCATTAAACTTTCGCAAAACTTGTCTTTCTATTGCAGGCAGTATATAAGTCGGAACGAGCCGGATCGGACGACTATATCATAAAGCTCCCATAGGAAAAATCGAAAAAATAAATTTAAAAAAATTATACCTTTGCTGTTTTTTAATTTTTTGTTTAGTTCTTCGACAAAGAGTAATGGTTAAACATTCAGAATGCCGGTTTAAATTTCATCAAAATTGGACGACTATATCATAGAGCACCCATAGAAACAATAAAAAAATATAAACAATTTTTTTTTAAATGTAACTTTTCTATTTTGTAATTTTCTTTAACAATTCTTTTTGACTTATTAACAATTTGACAGTTCAGAATTACGCTTTTAATTTTATTGAAATCGGAAAACGATATCATATAGTTGCCATAGGATCTATCGAATAATTAAGCTGCAAATCATCATAGCTTCAATGTTTTTAAACATATACGCAAGGAAATCATAATTTTAATGTGTTCAAGAATAATTAGTTTTGCATTAGCTGCAAGGGTATATGAACTTCGGCTTACCGAAGTTTGCTTCCGTTCTTGTGTTTTTATTTTTGCAGACCAATTAATATAAACTTTATAACATTTTCGATCGAAAATCTCTTTAAATGTGTTTTTCATTACGTTTCCATATACGTTGAATTTTTTTTAAATCCGTCAACTAAATGAGATAAACCTTTAGACCATAAAAAATCGCAACAAAATTTATATCTTTAAATTGAGCTGAAGGAGAAATAATGCTCTCCAACAAATAGGCAGTCACTTTGGTGTTTTTATTGCCTTGCCACATCCCAATCCCAAAAGTTGCTATTTGAAATGGCAACGGTTGTCATTTCATAAGTTTTATTGTAAAAGCTATGAATGTTTATTTTCCACGCATGATTTATCTTAAACATGGCGACGTTACGATTGAGCAGCGTTAATTACTTGTCAGTCATTGACATAGTGGTTTGCAGCGAGTGTGTATTAATTAGAGCACGTACGCAAACTCAAAGAGCAATAGTCAAAGCTTTAAGCAGAGGAGGAAATGGTGAAGGCAATGATATTGCCAACTGCACTCGCGTAATTAGCAACAAAACGTAGTGCATATTTAAAATAGCAGCCGACAGAGACTTTGATGTAAATATATATTATTGGGGAGAGCAGTGTTTGCGTGCGTGGCAAATGGGAAATCATAATTTCTTTTTTAAGCGAGTGTTCATGCCTGCATTGGCAGACAAATGTTTTTATTATGCTCATTATTAAAGGCGGCTTAATTAAAATGCCCACTCAAACTTACATAGGAAGAAATACCCCTGGACTTGTGTAGGTGACACAAGCAAATGTCACGCATTGCGATACGATTTGCAGACGGGTCGGGCCAAGTTTAATTGCTGAAAGATACGAGACGTGACTCTGTAGTTAATGAATTAAAGCTTTCCGCCCCTAGTGACACTAGATTCTTGATTATATCTGAGACAGGACATTACATTTGCCGAGAATATGTTTGTATACACTTGCAGTTACATTAAAAACTAATAATTGTTAAGTATTCCTGGAAATTTTTCATTTTTTAGGATCTCGGTAAATGACTTATACACTGAGCGAGTAGAGAGCACAGAACCAAAGTGATTTTGCAGCTGTTGGAAGGATGTATTAATTTCGTTGAGTTAGATCCGATGATGCAATATGTGTTAGTAATTTCTAAGTCAAGCATGTTCCATTGAAAATGTCCAGACATGTTAAGCATAGAGAATCAAATTTCCATGGATGATTATACATTTAAAACTATTTTTCTTTAAATTTATCAACAATTAAAGTAACGATAGCTTGCGTAAAATATTTCTTCTTTTGGAACTTAGCTAAACACACAAAGACATATGTATGATTGACTGTCTTTTTTAAGTCTGCCATGATTTTAAAAATCCTTTTCCCAACTTGTTTTACTTTTTACATTTCTTAATGGTAAAAATATTAAATTGATTAGTGGTTATCAAAATTGACTATACAATTAATTTGTTATGTGCGATTGATCTAATGGGAGGTACATACATATATGATATAGTCGTCCGGTTTTAATGTAACTTATTCTGAAAGCCATTACTACATTTGAAAAAATATGAACATAGAGTTACAATTTTTTTTTTAATAAAATCCATTTAAATCAAATAAGAACTTTTAATAAATCTAATATTTTCGACATCAATTAAAATTTTTAATATTAAATCATGTAATTTAATATGCATTGTATTTAAAAATATAATTTAATTTTTAGTTTCAATATTTAATATACAATTTTTAATTCAAAAGCCAGATATTTCTTTTTATTATTCCATTTTTTACCACTGCATCAAACTTTCAAAAAAGTTGTCTTCCTGTTGCTGGTAGTCGGACGACTTCTGCAATGCAACTGTAATTGCAATGTCAACGCTAATTAATACAAAAATATAATTTAAACATATCCACTCTTTTTTATTTGTAGTCATTTTAAAACTCAAATATTTCAAATCCATATCTGATCTAATCAAAGACATATTTTCCCCACTGGCTGGAATTTAATGGTTGTTTTTGATTCCTGATAAGTTGAAGACTTAACCCAAAAGAGTGGACGAATTGTCCCATGAAATTTGACCTTATAACTTTCCAGTGCATTAATATTTCTAAGAGACATTAGACAGGTTTCACTATTTCTGACGAATTAACATACCTCGTACACGAACTTTGTCCTTGCAGCTGCACCCAATACTAGCGACCTCACATGCGAGAAATGATGATGATGAAGCCGACGTCGAGGGTCTGGCAACAGGAATCGGAAGTAGAGCAACGAAAACAACATAAACAACTTAAACAACGCTGCCGAACTGACAGAGCAAACATATTAGTGGCTTACGCCGTTAACAGTGATAATAACGATGGCAACCACGGGGAGGCGCATAATCAAAACAACGACAGCCAAAACAGCTCTATGAATTTGAGCACATCCGCCTTCCGACGGAGAAAACCACAACAGAAACCCCGGGATGCCTCCACTGGACCGCACTTCTCCGCCTCCCAGGGGACAATGGCGCTCGTTCTCCTTTCAATTTCTGCCCTGACATCGTCCGCCAATGTCTCCAGCACTACAACCCATCTGTCCATCAACGGCAGCGGCAACGGCACCGATTACATACTGCTCCTTGGAGACTCCACCACTCCCCTGGCTCCTGCCCAAACTACCGGGCTCTCCGGGGTCGGAAGTGGGGGCGACATCGAGGACGAGGAGGATGCGGAAAAGGCCAGCGAATACATCTTCGACCGCACCGATGTGCGCATTGTATTTATCACCCTTTACACGTTGGTGTTTTGCTGCTGTTTCTTTGGTGAGTAACAGGAAGATAGTTCAAAGAATGTTAAGCGCTTACTTATCACTTTAAGTGGTAGTATTTTATCAGGCGTCCAATGTTTTAATAAATTTTAGCTTGACTCATTTATTTTTATTAAATGAAAACTATTTTTTCGATAACATTGCAATTGTTTTCAATCCGAAAAAAAATGAGAAAAAATTAATTTACTTATTAATTTTTTATTGATCCCGCCAAATGCGTTACCATTTTTTTTTGCACCAAGGGACGCGATTGCTTCAGACTTATTTATTCACTTTGATTCCAAATATGCAAAACTTACTTTCGACTACGAAATTGATCAACCTTCAGAACTTTGGTGGCTTGGAAATGGATCTTTTGCAAGCTGAATTCGTTTTTCCCTGTTGGTTTTTGAAATATAATTCTTCTTCCTGGCATTCTGCGTATTGGTGAATATTACACGGTTTTTGAGAGCCGACATTCCACCTCCAACTCGGAGCTTGGGAAGTATGAAAACGGTCCAAATTCGTGGTTTATGTATATTACTCTATGCGCTAAGGAGTGTGAGCGACCTACGATTCCACCAGTAGCACTGTAGCTATTATCTTCCAAATGCCACTATGGGTTAATTTTCTTTCGAATGATTGTACCTACTTATAATATTTATATCTTTTAATATTTGTTTAATTGAAGTCGGTAGGGAACACAGAGAAATTTAATCAAATATATTGCAGTTAATCGGAGAATATTCGTACTCAATTTACTCAGTTTGAGTACACAAGTGATTTTTTCAAGAATTTGGTTCTCAAAATGAGAGTCGGCCAAAATCAATCGGTTAAAAATGTATCTTTTTCTTTTACTTTTATTGTTTTTTTTACATATGTATAGAAATTTAATTTGAAAACGAGCGTCGGTTTTCTTTGTCCACTTGTAGAGCTATACTGGATTGTTTATAAACATAATAATTCATAATTAATTGTTATATTATTATTTTACGTGTTAAATTAAATCATTTTACCTCCGAATTGTAAGCCTTAACCACTCGCCCACGCACATTCCAACTTGGCAGTGAGCAAAAGACGTACAACTATTTTATTTGAAAAGGCGAATTCGTTTTTGAAGCAAAATATTTGTGGTAATTTTTAGAAATGATTAACAGCTACAACTACATATCCTCAAGTTGATAATTCAAATTCTCAATCTCTGAACGACAGAATTTTCTCTTTGTGGAATGTAGCCCATTTTCACTTAGAGGTTCTCGTTTTTTCTCACCACCTTCGCAACTTTCGCATAAATAAAGTGATTCTTGCAACTATGGCTGACGAATTTTTCATTGGATAACTTATCCTCGGTTCTGCCTGTGCCAATTGGTTGACACTACTCTGTTTGGATTGCAGGTATAAAAGTTGAATTGTTCACAAGCTTCTTGAAAACCTGAAAGAATTTCGAGGACTTTTGGTAACACTTCAATAAAGAGTACAGATATATTGCTCTTACTACAAAAACTTATATCCCATCACTTGCGTTAAAATAAATCTATTAAATTGCTATAAAAAAAAACAGCAGAATGTTTGTGCTAGACAACTTCGAAGGCTCGTTAGCACAGACTTCGTTTTTAAATGTTCTTTCTGAAAGGTAACTTTACTTCATTCGATAGGAATAAACCAACTTTGGGAAATAAAAACGTTTTGAAATGTTTTACCCTACATTTACTGCAGCTCACAGCTTACATTTTTTCATTGAATGTGCTTAAGTTACCAGTTGTCACATTCATTTTTCAGACCTGAGCTCGAAATTGTGTTTGATTGTGCTGCAAACCGAAACACGTATAAAAGCATTGAAAAGTGCCTTCCGCCGGACATTTTTGGTGACTTATAGAAAGCTTCAATTTTTCTTGTCAACCCTTGCGGTTCAATTCGCTGCCGTCAATTGCTCAATATTCTCGTTCGGTAAATGCTGATTTTGTTGTTCAGTCGGCAAATCCTCGTTTGTAAACTTTTTGAAACTTACTTTTTTCAACTCTGCTTAGCTATTCCGTGTCGGTGAAAGATTCTTTATAAATTTAAATCGGAACAGTGCAACGGATGAGTACTCCGGTCGGATTACCTTTATTGTTCCATTGAGTTGTTACACGACAGGAAAAAAATGGTGTAGTATAAACTTACTATAGAAAGTAATAAAACCTCTTTATATGTTTTGTTATTTTTAAGTAACTCCTCTTTTTATGGTTGTCTTACCGTTTTCGTGGTCAAAGCAATTAAAGAGTTACCTAGTTAATTTACCAGTATCCATGGATTGGGGTTTTTAAATTTGTTTTGTAGATTTTGATAAAATTTAAATCGTACACTCATAGAAAAAATCAAGAATTTCGATGTCAATTCAAGAACGAACGATGTCAAAAGTAGGGTAAATTCGAATTTTTTTGATTCAAGAACGAAAGACTATATTCAAGAACGAATTATTCAATCCCGAATTTCTACATTTAAGAACGAACGTCATCAGTCCAATTACTCAAAAGTGCTTGAAGATAGTGCGAAAGATATTGGTTTGAGAACGAAAAATTCTTTATTCAAGTATTAAAGTGTCTTAGTTTAAACTGTGCAAGTGAACAAATTAAGTATAAAAAACGTTCGTTTAAGCATGAACAGTTCTTAATTTAAGTACAAATAGTTTTAATTTAAGTCAGAAAAATTCGTAGTTAAAGAATGATACTCTTATATTCAAGAACGAAGTATTTTTCATGTAAGAAACAAATATTCTTATTTGGAGAGTAAACCATTCTTCTTTTAAGAACCAAACCCTCTTTAATAAAGAATGAATATTTTTAATTTAAGAACAAATCATGTTTTATTCAAGAAATAAATATTTATTTGAAGAATAAACAATTCTTTTCTTAAGTATTAAACGTTTTTAACTTAAGAATATATGTAATTTCATAATGAAAAGTATTTGAGTATCTGATTCACTTCTTAATATTTTAAAGTACAACTTTTGTATTGTATATTTTGACATATATAAGAACAATTTGTCTTAAGAAGCTTATACATATTTAATACGAACAAGAGTTTTATTATTATTTACAGGATATAAATGCAAAGGAGCAGTATCGAATTCACTTAACTTTCTAATACAATATTCTTTAGTTGAGCCAATTACGTATGCGCGAAAATGTTTATCAATGTTTGTAATTTTAGTTGGTTGGCATATAGAAATTAATTTTAAATAACTCAAAATCACTTAATATTACACCTAAGTAGTAATTGATTTTGTACCGAGTTCCTTTAAAAATTAATATATCATACAAATGGAATTCGTTGCAGTCCGAAAACTTTTCAAATTATTAAATTGTTGTTGATGGCTTCCTCAACTATTGCGCTGATCAGCCAGATTCTATCCACCTGAACAAGATTCCTTTTATTAATTAACGTTTTTCCATGCTCCTTCGCCTCTATAATCGAACGAATGCTCTGCAACAAAAATAAATTGTTCACTTTATATATAAAAAATTTAAAAAAAAAATTATAATTTATAAAAAATAATTACCTTGTGGAGCACAAAAGTGGTCTCGTTTTCGTTTTGGCCTGCGCTGACCTTGGTAATTTTCTAAATAAAATATTGCGTTAAAAACTACTCTAAAAAATGTCTATTATTAAACTTACATTTTTTTCTCTCCAAATTGTAAGCTTCCGCTTGAATAGCATACGCAGTCCCAATTGGAGAACTGCTTCCTTTAGCTCCTCCTCTGTCACACTTTCTAATAGTGACAAAGTCACTCCAGCTTCTGTATGAAATTAATATAAAAACAATTAAAATGATTTTTCTAAGAAGCAAATACCAATACACGAACTAAAAAAACAGCAACAAGCAGCAAACGTACATATGCATGTACATGTGTGCACGCGAATTTACTCCTTTTTTTACTAAGAAAAAAAAAAGCAACTGTACCGCACTGAGTTCTGAGTTCTGCCCTTGTAAAAAATTCCGTCAGCCTTTTTATTTATTTTTTATAAACTCTGATTTAACACCAATTCTTATATTTACTAGTTTTTATTGGAAAAAGTCGCGATAACTGGCACAAGAATGTTTTGCATTGTTATGTGTGCGTGCGAACGTTTTACCGTTGCTTTTTTCTTTCCATTTTACTTTGTCTTTTTCGGAATCAGGAAAGAGGCACATAAACACATTAACAAAAATGTAATTCGCGCGAAATTTAATTTTATTAACGACTACTCCGTTTTGTTATATTAAAGTATTAGTTTGTTTTACTTTAATTCGTAAGTTAACTTAATTCACGCGAATTTTAATTTTATTGACGACATCGCTTCTCTTTTATGTTACCACATTTGCTAATAGTTTACTGTTTCACATTAATGCACAATTACTTACCCTGCAGGTACGGCAGCACACCCTGCATTCCCATTTCTTCCAACGCGTCCTCTAGCTTTTTGGGCGATTCTCTTTCCATTTTTTTACGCTGCGACTCGGATCTCTTACTTGCGCACTTCTCGTTTTAAAGTAAGGCAGCTTTTCGATCGACTAGCCGAAAAGAAGATATCGATCGATACACATCGATATACACAAATGTGCTCGAATGTACAAAATTAACGTATAATCGTATGACTGCTAGTGAAAAAATGCTTAATTTATAGATTTAAATGCTTTTTTTATAATTCTGTTATTATTTATAGATATTATAATCAGAATTAAAGCTATAAAATATATTTTCTCTGTGTGTTAAAAAAAAAAAATTGTAAATACTATTATCAAGTATGACCCGTACTTATTCTGTACACGTTCGTCCTAAAAATTTTAAGAATTATTCGGCCGATTTTCAAGAACGTTCGTGCTAAAATTATTCGTTCTACTTTTTTCTGGGTGTACTTCTGAAATATTGAATGGAAAAGGATCGGTCGATGGCGTAAGCTATAATGGCTATAATTAAATGCGCTCAAGACAACATTAACGTAACTCAACCCATATACGTTGGCGCCAATGAAATCGAAACATTATCAATACTG